CACCAAGTTTTGAGATGTGTTTTAAACGGAAATTTCCTGAATATTAAAAAAAAAAAAAAAATGGAGGCTGTCAAGATGGTTCAGCAGGTAAAGATGCTTGCCACCAAGCATGAGCACCTGAGTTGGATCTCTAGGACCCACATGGTGGAAGGGAAGAACCTATTCCCACAACACATCCTGACCTTAGGTATATGTACACACAAACAGACACACAGACACACAAAATAAAATGCAGAATTTCTTTAAATGAAATGGGGCTGGACATGGTAGGGCAAACCTGTAATCCCAGGACTCAGCAGGCTAAGGCAGAACAAGCTGGAGGCCAACCTGGCTAGAGTAGTGAGATCTTGTCTCAAAGAATTAAAATAAAAGGGGGGAGGGAGTGTTTTGACAGCAACACAGAATGAGCGCCCTTGGTGTGGATTTACAATGGGGAATAAATGTCTGAAAACGATTACTGAGTCAATCTAAGTATTTAGTGTTGGGAATTTACTCAGCAGGTTGATGCAGTGTTTTCAGGTCACATTTTGGCTCACAAGCTTACATTGATTCTCCTCTCTCTCTCTACCTCTCTCCCTGGCAGGGTCTCCTTGCAGCCCCAGCTGGCCTTGAACCTCTGGAGTGTTGGGATCACCATCATGCCTGGCACAAGCTTACATTTTCCAGCTACACCAAGATGACTGACAAATCTAATATTGACGCTTTTTATGAACGTACAGATTAATGAAAGCCTGTTATAGAGTCAGTGATACAGAGCCTAATCACAGTTGAAACGGGACCTTTAAAAGGTTTTTAGGGAGCCAGACAGATGGCTCAGATGGCAAAGTGCCTGCCACACAAGAACACAGGAGCTCGGATGCCTAAAAAGCCAGGTGGAGTGGTATGTGTGTGCAGCGCCAGCACTGGGAGGTACAGACCGACCTGTGGAGCTTGCTGGCCATCCAGTGTTGCCAGGAATAAAGTGACATGACTGAGGAAAATAGTCTCCTGGCAGCTATACCTACATGCATACATGCACAGATATGAACATTCTCTCTCTCTCTCTCTCTCTCTCTCTCTCTCTCTCTCTCTCTCTCTCTCAGCCAGGTATGCTGGTTCACACTTAATAATCCTAGCACTCAGGTGGCTGAGGGAGAAGGATTGCTACAAGTTCTGGGATAGCCTTAGCTATGTAGGGCATTCCAGGCCAGCTTGTGACTCAAAGATCTTAGCATAGGGTAATGTGACAACAAACCCATACAGATTAGAACAGTGTACATTTTAATCAGCAAGTGAGTCTCTTTTCATTAAGTTCTGAATCAATTTCTGAATCAGATGTATTTGTTATTTCTCTCTTGAGAAGCAAGGAGTCAAGAGAGGGAAACATTATAGGCATCAGGGTATGGAACCAACAATTCCTGTGAAGGTCTGACTGCTTGATCAAAGTGAGATAGTAAGGTTCTTAGTGCTAATCTTTTGCCATTCCAGATTCCAATTCTAGAAAGGATTAACTCATCAGTGTTAGGAGGCATGGCACTTTTCAACACACTACAAAAGGGGGAAGACCTACAGATTTGGGGCCAACAAACTATGGCCAGCTGTCTCATCTGGTAAGCCTCTGAACACACCCAGCTGTTCCCTCACACTATCTAGGGCTGCTCTCACCCTGCCAGTTGGAATGGTCATAATGGAGGCCTTATGGCCACAGATTTATGATCTGGTTCTTTAAAGCCAAGTTTCCTGGTTTCTACACAGATCAGAAACCTGACCAAAAAAGCAGAGCATTTACAACCTGTGCATGTGTGCCCACACTGATGAATGACGAATCCATTAACTATTTGATACTAAGGGGTTGTACTACACCTTAAAAATCATGGAGGCAGATAAAGGCCCATGTCTGTAATCCCAGGATTTAGGAGGTTCACCGTGAGTTTCAGTGCAGCCTGGACTTCATAGTAAACTCTGTATTAGCCACATCTACACAGCAAGATCCTATCTCAAAACCAAAGGTGGGCTGGGGAAATGGCTCAGCAGGTGAAGGCCCTTGTTTCTGATGACTTGAGTTCAATTCCCGGAATCTACATGCAGGTGAACAAAAACTGACTCCAGAAGTTGCTGATTTTCCCATGTGCATCACAGCATTCATTGCCCACACACACACGTGCACAATTTTTCAAAAAAAAAAAAAAAAAAAAGGCCAAACCACTGGAAAGAGAACTGACAGATATTAAGCTCCACATTATCTTTCATATGAATGTTGAACCTTACAGCAAAATACAAATGACAACATCCAATATGCTTCTTCACAATACAAATACTGGCAACTAAAACACCAGATCATAAATATCTTTATTGATGCATTATCAAACTCTATATCCAAACTCAAAACTCAAAGGGCTTTCTTATTATTCACATAAACACTGAATGTTAGACTCCATTTAGACAGTGGTAACTATGCTGAGTGATTATTTTAAATCAATGGTTTTGCAGCAAATGGCTAATCCCTTTTAAAAACATTTTTTGATTATGTGTATGAGTGTTTTGCCTACATGTACCTAATGTGCACGTAATGTGCACGTAAACCCATGGAAGTCAAAAGAGGGTGTTGGATCCCCTGGAACCATTAAAATGACTAATCCTTTTTACCCATTCTGGTTTTGGAGATAGTCCAGGTTAAAAGAAAAAAAAAATGCTATTTGCTGCAGGGTTTGGTTCTTAGATCTTGCAGTATGGTCACAAACATGACCAATACTTGTTGGGAGAGGGGGACCCTAAGGCTCAGGTGACCACCACATAGCATGTTTTGCAATACCTCTAAAGGAGCTGGCTAGTTACACACTGTGTGATGATACCAAGAGGCAGAAAGCTTGTAATTGCTTGTGCCTTTATTAACTGGTAAATACTTTTGAGCACGTGCTGTGTACTACATTGTCACTTTGTAGTAGCTTAATTTCTCTCCTCCCACAGGTCATATACTTATGAAACTAGTTTGACACAGGGAAAATATTGAAATGAAGTTTCGGGACCCAGGGTCTTAAAACTGTCTACAGTACCACTGGCAATAACCTCTGGTCACGTTCAACTTAATTCTGCAACATTTTACACATTGTTTGACATGAATTCAGACTGTCTTGTATCTTTTTCTTTTTTAGAGACAGGCTCTCCCTGCATCCACAGCTGGCCTGGAACTTACTACATAGACCAGGCTGGCCTTGAACTCACAGAAATCCACCTGCCTCTGCCTCCTAAATGCTGGGATTAAAGGAGTGTGCCACCATGCCTGGGCCTGTCTTGTATCTTTTACTAAGATCTAACACAGACCTAATTACACTTGGAAGATTAGTATTTTTTTAATTGCCAAATTTAGGACTGGCCGTTGTGAAGAAACTATTCCTGCTTATAGGAAGGAGGCAGTATGCAGAGCTAAGGCACTGTGCTGTTACGGAGTTTTTTGAGATGGGGCTTGTTATGTAAGCAGGCTTGCTTCAATCACCTGAGCGCTAGGGCTAAACCTATGATCCACCACAACCAGCTTGGAGCCTAGTTTTTTAAAAAAATATTTTTATTTTATGTGTGTGTTATCGTCTGCACGTAGGTAAGTGCACCTGTGTCCTGCAATGCCTGTGGACAACAGAAGAGGCTGTCGGATCCCCTGGAACTGCCATGTGGGTGCTGGGATTCAAACCCTGGTCTTCTGCAAGAACAGCCAGTGTTCTTAACCGCTGAGCCATCTCTCCAGCATCAGAGCCTAGTTTTTTTATTTGCTTTGTTTTCTCCTATTCTATGTTAAGAACTTCTTCCTTTAGTTCAAACCTGTTATACCAAAGACTATGTTCTAAAACTTCTTTAATTTTCCTATCTAATCAATACATCTAATAATTAAAATTTGCCAGCTCCCAAACATTGGTCTGTGATAATTTGTAGTGAATTATGTAGCAATATTTTTCATAAGGCTAAACTTGATTTCTAAATTCTCAGATTTCTAAGATGGCTGTTAATGTCAAAACAAGCTTCATTAAATGTTTGTGCATATAGTAGTGAGTTTAATCAATGTTATTTCTACTAAGCAAGTACATAAAAGCTGGCAACAATGGTGGTCTCAACTGTTTAAAACAAATTGTTTGGCTAATACTGCCTTAGCCAAAACTATTAAGTCATCTTTTCCTTATCTACAACATCTGCAGTGGTAATTTTTTCCCCCATCAAGCAACCCCATTTCATCTTTGGGAAAAAAAAAATGCTTTTCAATCTCCAGCCAAGTGTTCCTAATCCTTACCTTTTGCAACCACAGAGAGCATCTAATTCTGCCACACCGGTTCTGTTTATATATGTAGCTGTATACCACATGGCCCTTCTCCACCCCAAACCCTCTCAATTCTGCTGTAAAGCTGGAATATCTGGCTATTCTGAGTTCCTTGGTTCCACTAACAATCTAATAGAAAAGGTGAGTGTGATAGTGTACATCCTAATTTCAGAGTTTAGAGGCTGAGGCAGGGGGATCCTGAGGTTGAGGTTAGCCTGGGCTACAAAGCAAGCCCTGGGAAGGAGACAACCTACCTAAACACTAGTTAAGAGTGCCTTCTCTATTAATAGTTTCAAATATTTGAAATTTGTAATCTTATTCATTTGTAATCAATTCATCCAATATCTAGTATATATTGGATAAAACCTTTGCTTTTTAACTCCATGTCCCAAGGTGGTTCAAAATGTAAATTACATGGACTTTTTAGATGGTTCCTAAATCCTCCAATAATCCTCAAAGATGCACAGTGACTAAAACAGTGCTGTCTAAGATTGAAAGCAGCCCTGTGAGGATGGGGAGGTAGTCTTAGCTATTTACACACTTCAATATAAAAAACATACAAACACAAAACCTCATGATATGCTAACAATTCAAACTTGTAAACTATAAAGATATTTGAATTAGACTAAATACAAGTTTACAATGTTTCCAATGAGTTTAAATTAGCACACCTGAAAGCAAATCTGAGTATCAATAAAATTCACAAAGCCAGAAGCAGTTTAGTGCTCACAAGTTTATATTTTTAAGTTTGATAAAGATTCTTGTGTATTTTCTAAATACACAAACAGTTTTGGAGGTTTACATACATGTCTTAGGACACTTTTATTAGGTAGGTAAATTACATTTAAAAAACTGGTCTTCGTAAAAGATCTTCCCAGAGAGCTTTCACAAACAGCAGGCAGAAGAAGTGTTCTTTTTAATGTTTACAGTGTTTTAAAATGGTGATTCTCCCATACCAGAATGGCCTCAGGCATCCCCCCTTTCTTGAACCCAAAATCTTGTTCTCAATAGCTAGTGTACTCTAAATTTAAGTACCCAATGTCTTAAAGTCCAGGGCTAGAAAACATTTTTGAAAGTGTGCTTATCCCTAACACATTTTAAACTTCCCTTGGAGGCTGGGATGCAGCAGGGAGAGAGGAAACAAGTAACGTTCTACTTTAAAACCTCAAGTGACTAAGAAAACACCTGTTAGTTCTAAGTGTGTTGATTGATTAGGTACCATAGTTGAGTTTAAGGATCCGGGTGACTGAACAGCACAAAAAACAGGGCTTATACCTAGTTCTTTAAATTAAAAAAAAAAACATCCTTTTTAAAAGTGAAAATGCTACCACCCACTAACTAGTAGCATCTGCAACACTGAGGTGTATTTTATTTGAGTCCAAGTGACAAAAACAACTTTACTGGAAGAGTGACAAGGACATTTATTGGGAGCAGAAAAGATACAAAATTCTTAAATATAGCTGTTTTAAGGAAAAAAAGTTTACCCCCCCCCCAAAAAAAAGGTTTGAGGTACTAATAGAACCTCCTAGAAAGAGCAGGGGGAGGGGCTTCAGAATCAGACCTGATGGAAGCCAGCTCTAGTAAGCTGTGTAATTAGGTGAGTTCCTGAATTTCTCTGAGCCTTGTAAAACAGAGAGAATAGCACCTACCTTATAGGTATTAGAAAAAATAAGGCAGACAACAAAATAGCAAGTGTGGGCACAAAAAAACCAAACAAAAACCGGCAACTTTTAGAATCATAAATCAGAGATATGGATCTAAACTTCTGCTGTGTTCAGGAAAATCCTAAGCTTCTCATTTCCCACATTTATAAACTCCAGTCATCTTCAGGCCTTCCCCAAGCTCTGATTCAGTCATTTCCTGTCTTCTCCCTCTTTCCAAGCAGCTCCTCATTTCTTCTCTTCATCTTGGTTCCTATTAGACACTGACGTGTACTGTGTGCTTAGTGTGCACCAGAATTTATGAACTGCAGTGACTTAACACAGCTCTATCAGGATGCCTCAACTTAAACAGGCTACTGTATTTTGGCCCCAAATTCAAAGCTACTGGTTATTGTCCAGTTTCCTCTTCTAATGTGTTTTCTTCCAAGCTCTTGATTACTAGGGTGCTAAAACTGGACAAACTGTCTAGTAAATAAGAAAAAAAAGAGGGTCAAGAACTGTGACAAAAGAGGGATCATATGGAAGCAGCTGTCTGGGAGAACCTAAGTGATCAATGATCTTGCTTTACTTATGAGGGATAGTCACTACTGTGGAATATGAAAGTTTATGCTCTTCCCCTTCATTAAAATTAAAAACTCTAAAAATATTTTATTTAAAATATAAATTACAAAAGAAAAACTTCACCAAATGTACAACATAATTCTGCCAGACTTCCAGACAAAATTATGAGTATTCATTCCATTACCTTTCTGAGACCAATCAAAAGTTCTTAGATATTTATCAACTTCCTGAAGTTGTACTTTCAGAAAAGGAATATACTTAAAAAAATAGAAACGTCCAGTAGTATACTTTAGTACTAAAACTTTTTAAAAAGATCTAGAAGGGAAAAAAAAGGCAGTCCCTCAAGACCATGAAACAAAATAAGTTAGGCAGTCAGCAAGTAGAAAAACCTGTCTATTCTGTTTCTGGCAAAGTGTTTACTTCAAAGAAATTTTTATATAGGCTGAGGCTAATATATATTCAAGAGTATAAACATTTTTTCCTTTGGATTACCTAAAAACAAACTTTAAAGTATCATATTTCAGATTACTAGAAACATAGCCAAATCTGTCACGACACGACGTAAAAGGCAACGGACAATTATAGAATATTTTAAATTAACAGTAACAAGTTATCTACATCAAACCTGTTTCTAACTAAAGCCAAAACAAAAGCACAACAATCCTGTAGTGTACCAAGTGTGTATTTTGCAATCTAACAAAAATTTGGTCATAATTTACCAGATATACATAAATGATTTAAGTAATAAAAGAAAATTCTGTTTCAAGAGAATAAGTTTGTATCTTGAGGAAAAAGTAAAAGTACATTAAGAATGTAAAGCCAAGTCCAGTTTCTATGCAATAAGTGAACTATTGTCTAATAAAGCAGATTTAGGTGATTTTTTTTAGATATATATATTTGCTCTTTAATATATATTTATATATAGACAGATCTACCAATTGTAAACTATGGTTTATTTTAAAGGAAGGGGATAAATGGGATGAAAGAAATCTTTATACTATACTTACATATTCACAAAGCAGAACATTTTACGTTTAAAATATTTTTTCATTCATAATATCTTTGCCCAACTATTTCTACTTTGGACCTCACTAGAATGACATTTTACTCATTTGTTTCAAATACTGAGAAGAAGGTGTATTCTTCAGTTAAAAAAATAAAAATAAATCAAACCAAAACCATTTGTCTGCCGTGCTTCTAGTTACATAAAAAATGACAATAAATTTTAGATGGCAAAAGGTGCATCCATCCATGTAACTGTAGTATTTTCTTTGATTTATCTAGGCAGAAACTTCACTGTCTAACATTAAACCATCATTCTACTGAAATCAGAAGCAATGAGAAAATCTCTCTTTAAGAAAATCAACTTTCAACTTTGATCAGATGGAGCACCAAAGGATTGTATCTGTCAAAGCATCTCTGAGATTTCTTCCACATGACTAGCCTAATTTTGTTACTTGATATAAAATAGGAAAATATACTCACTTTTTATTTAAAAGAAAGCTGAAAATATGATGTCTCTGAATTTTATATAATATACAATATGCTCCTGATAACTGTCACCCAAGCTAACACATAAAAAGCTGCTGAGAGTTCTACTACCAGTGAGTTCATCTGTCTCCAGGCTAAATAAATAACAGTCGACTATGTCACCCTTTGATTCCTAAAGAATTTAGGTAGTAGAATAATAGTCTCTCAACATTTTAATTAAGATTTTTGCAGATTGTTGAATCATGATGATGACAAAGACATCATCAATGTGTAGTGACTTTAAGGAATGGAAAAATAAATTAATATCAACCATAATTTAAAAAACACTCAACATCCCGGTAAGTATGAAACAAAAGAGAATGCACATTTTGTGTTAATTTTAATGATAAAAGGGCACAGGAGCAAAAACCTGATATTCACTCATATTGCATAACAAAGCTAACCAAACTGGACATGGAGGATAAATTATCAAACAAATCACTTTACTTATTTTTATACGACTTCAATTAGATTTCTGTATTTCAAATAAGGCTGAGGTATAGTACACTGGCAAAAATGTAAGAGGCCAACACGAATAGTGCCAAAGTAACAGATACCCAAAACCCAGAACCATGTCAGAAAATATCATATAAGTAACCATGTATCAGATCAGAGCAGCAGGAGAAGAGTTACTTTTCTGTATCATAATCATTTTAGTGGTATTTGTCAACTTCACCACGGTAACTTTGCAACATCATTCTTCATTTGTGAAGTAGTAAAATTCATGTCAAAAAAGGAAAGGGAAGTAGGGGAAGTCAGTTAATTCATTCCAATAAATTACCTCTCCAGTTCTTATAAACATGCCTATCAGCACAAAACTGAGGAATAATATCTAAGATTAGAGGAGACTTGGTTTAAGTTAATGAAGCAAATTAAAATGAAAAAAAAAAAAACAAGAAAATAGAACCAATGGGGTTGAAAAAGCCCCTCACTGAAAAAATCTGTATTAAAAAAAAATAAAATTAATAAAAATAAAAATAGAAACAAAACTCTACTAGTACAAACTAGCCTGAGTGGTTTGATGGACAGAGTGATTGGGTCAACTGTCACTGTACTTCCATAAATGGATTTTCTTCATTCATGTTAAAGTGACACATGAATGTAAACTCTATAAAGGACAAGTACTATATTTTCATAGAACCCAAATAGTTAACTGTATATGCTATAAATAAAAAATATTTTACTTTGATAACTGACTGAATATGTGGGGACTCCATGTAATCCAACCACATGGTTGTTTGCTGTACAGTCCTGTGCAAATATAAAAAAATTTTTTTTTTGCTATAAGGCTTTAACCCTACAGTTTTCACAGCAACATAACTACCATCCAGCATGTACCATTATTTTGCAAGCCTTCAAAGTTCAACAATCTAAATTGTCGATTCATAGTATGTCCTAATGCAGCATCCTTGAGGAGTATTGTAGGTCAGTTAATCATCCAGAGACATACAAACATCTCCTGATTCATCCCATCGAGATGGATCATTCTGATCTTCTCCATCATCAGCCAGGTCTTCATCAGGTTCTCCTACTTCATTCTCCTCATATTCTTCATCTCGAGGGAATTCTGTATCCTGTCCCTGGTCCACACCTTCTTGTCCTCCTGGCTGGGATTTATCTGCACAGTCTACACAAACACCATAGCGTCGAGATCCATGTCTTATTCCAACACTGGCTGCTAACATGAAGATCTTCTTACACACCATACATTTGTATTTCTTATCCTTTTTATGCACCTAATTGAAAGGGGAAATTCAACATAAGGATAGTACAGAAAAAGAATGCATTTGGGCCATTCAAATTAAACTAATGCTTTAAACTTCACTTCAATGATCAGCTGGATTTAAATTCACTTACCAGGGAATGTCTTTTTACATGTTCTCTTCTAGTAAACAGCTTTCCACAAATATCACAGCTAAATGATCTTACTCCAGTATGAATGAGCAAGTGTCTTTTTAGTGTTCGTCTGTATTTGGCTACATAGCTACAATGAGGGCATTTTAATTTATTCATGATTAGAGATGATTCACCTTAAAAGAAAAAAAAAATCCAAAGTACTGATTAAAACATGATTGCATAAACAAGACCTGCATTATGACACAGTTGACACGCTAAGAAAGATGGGGCAAATTTCACAGGGTCCCATTTCTAGATGAAGAACTATAGGGAATCAATCAATGACTGCTGAGAAAGGCAGAATCCATTTATTCCAGGGATCAGCTCCCTGATGAATTATCCAGTTCCAAGTGGTCAGCCCCAAACACATGTACATATGAGCACTACTAAATGAACTCAGTCGGTCATAATAATAAAGTCATGAACTTGAGAAAAAAGAGTGGGGCACTCATGGGAGTAACTGGAGGAGGGAGCAGGGGTAGAAATAATGTAAATTAAGTACTACGTATGAAATTCTCAAAAAAAAATTCAAATAAAAAGAACCAACCACAGGAACAGCAATTGTAACAGAACTACTAATTTTCTTAAACTGAGAATATGGGATGTTTTTAAAAAAATATTTCATGTATTAATTTTATGTATGAGTATACTACCTACACGTATGTAAGTGCACCCATGGCATGCAAATGTCAGAAGAGGGCATCTGATACTATGGAACTGGTATCCAGTCAAATCATATACCAATTTGAAACTTACATGTTGAAGAATGACAGTAGGAAAATATTAAAAGTCTTTGTTTTTCGTAATGAAATCAGTGTTTCTGTAAGAGCAGTTATGGACTGTTGTTAGATTACATGGGGGTGCTGGGAACAGAAACTGGGTCCTCTACAAGAGCAGCCAGTGCTCTTAATTGCTGAGCCTGGTATCTTTTAATAATTAAAGTTTTAGAATTCTATATTTGTTTAGTTGACCAATACTTGCCATTTTCCCAGGTTTCTTGTTTTGGCCAAGATTCTGGCAATAATCCATACTTGAAATCATTTGAGGCACCTGGTATCAGTCCATACTTGAAATCATTTGAAGTACTTGGTATCAATCCATACTTGAAATCACTTGAAGTGCCAGGCATCAAACTATACTTGAAATCATGTGACGCTCCTATACAATTGAAAAGTGATTATGAGGTTAATGGTAGCAATAAAAGTCTGTTATCTCTTAGAGACAGAACATAAAATATTTATATGAGCAAAGATAGAACATTTTAATATAAACCAAATGAAGCTAGGCTTGAGGCTCATACCAGTCCTCTCAATACTTGGTAGGCTGAAGCAAGAAAGAATTCAAGGCCAATCTTGGCTACATAGTGAGCTCCAAGCCAGCTATGGTCACATAGGAAGACCCTGTCTCAAAAAAACAAAACATACCAGTTCCTTCTCTGCCCCCAAAACCTAAACTAAAACAGGCTCTGGCTTCAATCCCCACACTATAAAGAGGTAGGAAAGTAAAACTCTTTGCTGAACTTCTGGAAGCATAAGCTAATAAATTTTTTCTAAGAAGGTGGGGGGAACCCCACTACCACCACCAAAACAGGCCTTTAATCCCTGCACTCAGAAGATCCAGACCAGCCTGGTCTACACAGAGTTCCAGGCTAGCCAATGCTACACAGTGAGACTATATCTCAAAAAACCAAACCAAACAAAAATAAAAACACCTAGCCTATTTCATTTAGTAACAGAAAACAAACTAATACACAGGTAAGAATGACCTCTTTTTGAATTTGAATTTTTTTTTTTTTTTAAAAGACAGGCTCTCTCTATAGCCCCATCTGGCCTGGAGCTCACTATGTAGACCAGGCTAGCCTTGAACTCACAAAGATCTGCCCACCTGAGCCTGGGATTAAAGGTATGCATTACTATACCCAGCTTTGATTCTACCTTAAATCCTTAAATTTATATATAATTTCTTAGACACAAGAATCTTTGTATAATAGCAATAAATACACAGAATCCTCAGTTACTGCCACCTTGATTGACTCAACCATCAATTCTAGCCTTTCTGGGTTACTTTTCAATGGGTGCCAACATGTTTCCCAGGTCCCATTCAATCATAGCAATTCCAATTTTTTATTAAAGAGTCTCATGAAGTCCAGGCTGGCCTCTAATATGCTACATAGCTGAGAATTACCGACAACTGGGGATCCTCCTGCCTCCACCTCCCAAGTCAGTCATCAAGCCTGTCAAAGATTCTTTCTAAAGACAGTAAAATCTGGAGGCTAAGTCAAAAGCATTATGAGTTCAAGGTCAGCCCAGATAAAAGCAAGACCCTGTCTCAAAACAAACTAATTCAAAGCCTCTCAGGTCTACTCAAAAGGCTGCAGAGGAACTCAGCAGCAGTTAAGAACACTGGCTGTTCTTGCAGAAGACCCGGGTTTGAATCTCGGCACCCACACGGCAGCTAACAACTGTCCGTAACTCTAGTTCCAGGGGATCCGACAGCCTCTTCTGTCCTCTGGGAGCATTGCACGACATGGGTGCACTTACCTACATGCAGGCAATACACGCATACACATAAAATTTAAAAAAAAAAAGGCTGCATACAAGCTGAAAGCTACCCACTTAACAAGCTACCCACTTAACTCGTTGTAAAAATCTAAATTTTCAATATCCTAATGAAGGTTAAACTTGATGGTGTCCTTTCCTTCAATTATCACCTTGGCTGTTTCATTCTAACCACATTGGCCTCTGTGTGGCTCCCATTTCAAGGTACTTATAATTTGCACTTGCCTACAACACTCCTTTCCAAGATAAGATATATGCAGAACTCATCCATGCAGCAATGCAAATAGAACATATCTAATCTGAAAATTCAAAACCTCCAACACTCACAAATCTACAATTTTGGGGGCATCATGTGCTCAAAAAACATTCATGCAAAATCCCATGAAAAATTCCAAAATTTTAAACACTTCTGGTCCTAAGCACTTAGAATAAAAGGTAAAATCTGTGAAACTTTTAGCCTCAAACTTCTGGATTTCATAAAAATTCATATTTTCTGTTTATCAGACATACTGTTCCCCTTAAAAATTACAAGTTTAATGGGGCTGGAGAGATGGCTCAGCAGTTAAAAGCTCTCCCAAAGGATAAGGTTTTGGCTCTCAGCATCCACATGGCAGCTAACAATCATCCCTAACTCTAGTTCCAGGGAATCCAATGCCCTCTTTTGGCATGGGCACTGTACAATATGGGTGTACACACATACAGGGAAAATACTCATATGCATAAAATACATTAAAAAATTTTAGATTGACAAATTTAAGATTCTTCTTTAGTGAATAATATACAAGGAAATTGAAAAGCTCTGCAGTGTTTTCAATGTACTGCAGTAATACTAAGTGAATTATCTTGAAACTAGAATATAGCCATTCTTTTTTTTTTTTTTTAAATTGAAAGCCTTTTCTGAACCTTTGAACCTATAATGTGCAATACTGTTAGGAAGAAAGTTTTTTTGAGATTCTGAAGTAAGAACATTTCCACATGTGTGGGCTAGGGATGCAGATAGGGATTAGCAGCCTGTGGCATCCACCTACCAATTTTCAGTTTCACATTTCTAAACTAAGTTGGGGCTTTATGATTTATATTTCTTATCTAAATAAGTACAAAACCCAAATTATTCTCTAGGAGAGCAAGAACTGTGCTTATAGCTTTCTTACCTTTTTGCTTTTAATGTCTGAAACATGTACATGCCCTGTACTTTTGAATAACTATATTTAGAAAAGCTTGTACCTGACATTTGTGGCTTCCTCAAAATACTTCAAAAACTTATCTCAGAAATCATACTGTATCTGCTAATATGTTCAATTAAATACCATTTTCTATAAATAGACATAATCTATAATTTATGAATTCACAATGCAAGGTTCAGAATTACTTCTGAGGGGGTATTTTTGAGACAGGGTCTCCCCAACTGGCCTAGAACCTGCTATGCAGACCAGGCTAGCCTCCAACTCAGAGATCCACCTGCCTCTCCCTCTGCTGGGATTAAAGGCATGTGCCACCATGCCTAGCCCAGAATTTTTTAAAAATTTTTATTATTTATTTAATGTGTATGAATGTACTGCCTGCATGTAGGTAGGTACACCTATGTTGTGTAGTGCCCATGGAGGTCAGGAGAGGGCATTCCTGGAACTTATAGATGGTTGTTAGCCACCATGTGGGTGCTGAGAACCAAACCCAGGTCCTCTGCAAGAACAGTCACTGCTCTTAACCACTGAGCCATGTCTCCAGCCTCCCAGAATTACTTTAAAACTTCAAATTCCATGCTTCTCTAAATGTACCGCTCAGGATAACAAGTAACCCATTTAAGGGCCAAGCCGGCAAGATACCTCAGTGGATAAATGCACTTCCTGTCAAGGCTGATAATCTGTTTGATCCCTGGGGCCCTACATGGGGGAGAGACCCAACTCCCACAAGTTGTCCTCTGATTTCAGTGAGTGTGTTGTACAAGTACAAAATAAACGTAATTTTAAAACAGTAACAAACCCCCCACCCATTTATAGTACAAATGAAGAAAGTCTCACCCCAAATTTCTTATATTTCTTCTAATTCTTAGAATCAACAGAGACTACTTGTAGGAATTAAGAGGGGCCTGAATAAAGCTGCACAGTTGTTCAATACGGTTAAGGCTTATTATGGTCTTTAGTATCTATTTCAAAATTGTGCTTAGTGTTCAACAATATATATTTTTTTCTTTTTCTTTTTGAGACAGGGTCTTCCTGTAGCCCCTGCTGGCCTGGAACTTACTATGTGGACCAGGCTAGCCTGGAACTCATACCTGGTACTCAACAATTTTCTTGATATAGTCCATAAACCAAGGATAAAGCACCATTTTAAGACATAACAAAACAAAGGCCAGTCTCAGGTACAAAAAACTAAGGAATCAATAGCAAAGTCAGCACTTGATTAGCATGTGCCAGGCCTCAGGAGATGGGCGGGAAGTCAAAGGATCAAAATGTCCCCCTAAATCAAGAAAGTAAGTTCACTGCAATACTCTTACTGTTGTAGCAATTCTCTATACAAGCAAAAAAAAACAAAACACAACAAACCACACCCTTCAGAACTCAGGAGCCAACAGCCTTTGCCAAGCATACTAAAGTCCCTGGGTTTGACTTCCAGCACCCAAAAGGGGGTCAGTGGGGGGCGCATTAACAACATTTTTTTTTTTTTTTGGTCTTTTTGAGACAGGGTCTCCCTGTAGCCCCAGCTAGCTTGGAACTCACTATGTATACCAGACTGGCCTTGAACACACAGAGATCTACCTGCCTCTGCCTCCTGAGGGCTGGGATTAAAGGCGTGCGCCACCATGCCCCGCTCAAACTTACATGAGTTTTATAATTGAACGTCTACATCCCTTCACCTTTAACAATGTTAAAATTGACACTTTTTTCTTTTGTGTATAACAAATTCACACACTTTATACATTACTGTAAAACTTGTACTTTTACTTCAAAAGTACATATAACATAATAATAGAACATTCTACAAAACCACAAACCATACAAATTTTAAACTGAATATTGCTAAGAAATAAATAAATGTCCACATTTCCAACTGTTTCTAAAACTGTCTTTATTTCCCAAATGCATTCTTGGTAAAAATATTACTGTACCTACCAGCATCACCTGCATCTTGACCAGAGCAGGCTTCGGTCAATAAATTTGCATTCACAGTCCTATCACCATCAGGCCCTGAGAGTAGAGCACCATCCAAATCTGAAATGGACACAGTTTAGTCATAAACTATATCAATAGCCATCCACAGCAAATTTTCTTCTTAGAGTTATTTCTTACACAAGCTAAATAAAAGGCATTACCTTCAAGTACTGTATATTCGCTACATGCTCAACAGTGTAAGCTACAGAAGTAGCTACATAATACAAAACGAAAGGCAAGCACCGGGTGAACATGGGCCGTGTGTATATTCCTCATATCTTTGGTCTAAAATGTATGCTCTCAAATTATTTGTAAACAGGTAAATGATAATATGTACCTGTTATGTACGTACATAATTTAAATTTTATTAGTGTGTTAGTGGTAAAGTATTTGTGCAGGTGAGGATAATTTTCAGTCACTTCTACACGGTGAACACTTTTTTTAAAAGTATTTTATTATTTTTATTGTATGTGTATGCGTGTATTGCCTGCATATAAGTGCACCTGTGTTGTACAATGCCCTCTGCAGACAGAAGAGGCTGTCGGATCCCCTGGAATTGGGAGTTATGGACAGTTGTTAGCTGCTATGTTGGTGCTGGCATGCGAACCCGGGTCTTCTGCAAAAACAGTCATCTCTCCAGCCCCTATGGTGAACACTTTCAATGCCTACTCACTGGCACTGATAGTACTTAGTATTTCAAAACCTGTTAATACAGGAAATCAACAATTTAAAAATCTTTAATTAAATAGTTTATTTTTATTTATTTATTTATTTTTTGTCTCTTTTGAGACAGGGTCTCTCTGTAGCCTCAGCTGGCCTGGAACTCACTATGTAGACCAGGCTGGCTTTGAACTCAGAGATTCATCTGCTTCTGCCTCCCAAGTGCTGGGATTAAATGTGTGCACTACCACACGCAGCTAAATATTTTTATTTTAAATATTTTTGTGTGGTGCTGAGGACTGAATCCAGGGCCTTGAACATCCTAGGCAAGTACTTTACCACACTATACTACAACCCTAACATCTTCAATTAAATATTGCTAAGAATAAAGAAACAGAATATACCTGAAACAGTTTAAGAACTTCTAATCCAATATTAAAACATTGTTTTCAAACACAAGAAGATGTGCACATTGAAAAAACAGTGTACAAGTTAAGAATGGATTTAAAAAGTCAAGGTATGGGGGCTAGAAAGATGACTAGGTAGTTAAGAGCACTGACTGCTCTTCCAGAGCACTGGGTTTGGTGCCCAGCACCCACATAGCATGCTAACAACCATCTGCAACTATAGTTCTGAAGGATTTGATGCCCTCTTCTAGCCTCTGGGGGTATTACACAACATGAACACAAAATGCTCAAACATAAAATTTTAAAATTAAGTCAAGGTGTGAACACATACCTTGTTTCTCATTATTCCTATGTAATGAGAAGGGGATGATTTCCTAAGAGGTTAATTTTTTTTTTTTTTGCTAGATATATGGGAAGGATGTAGAGGGGGTAACTTTTTCTTTAAAGCACACAAATGAGATGTATACTTTTCACAGCAATCTGTGAGCGTGCTGTAAATCTGTTCAATCCTGCTGCCTTCAGTCATTCACTCCTCATGTATAAGTAAACTAATGGAATGAGTTACTGGTCTTTGCTTCCCAAATATTTAGTCTTTATTTTAAAATAGAAAGCTTCCTGTGAAACATAAATTTTTAATTTTTTCAATGGGCTTATGCTTTCAGGGTGAATTTCAAGTCCTTTAGTTTAGATTCACCTTAATATTCAGGTTCCTACTTCTGATCATAGTATCATCCCCACTGTATTGGGCTCCTCATGAACCATCTCCCTGCGCCACCCCCCATTCATCTTAGGTATGTCCATCCCTGACTACCCTGGAGTCCCTAATCCCAAGATTAAACAAAAATGCAAATGAAACCCCTCCGTATAGAAGTAGATACTTACTGTAAAGTATTAGAGTGGGCAAGTAAACTGTTGCATAGTCATACAATGGAAGTTAATATAGCAATAGTCTAGTGTAAAATTATAAAGGCCAAATCATTAACAAATTTGGTGCTGAAAAACTAAGAGGTTAGTTAGATCATTTAACATGAACTAGTGCTGTACAGTGGCTGAGTGTGCATAGCAGGTCATTCTGATCCCTGTAGGTCATGGTAAGGTTAATTTTTACTTTTTTATTTTTTGGTCTTTTTGAGACAAGGTCTCCCTGTAGCCCTAGCTAAACTGAAACTTGATATGTAGACCAGGCTGGTCTCAATCTCAGAGATCTACTTGCTTCTGCCTCCTGAGTGAGGAGATTAAAGGCATGTACTACACCTCACTGTAAGGTTTATTTTTTGTAAAGTATAGAATTAGCTTAAAATAGAAATATAAAAAGTGTACAATTAGCTTAAAATAGGAAATTAACCCATTTATTGGTATTCTAAAAAAATTACTCCTTGTTGCTGTCATGAATGAAATACAAGAATGCAAGAAAGGAACAATTAAAGAGCTACAGGCTGCAGGCTATATACTTTTTGCTGCCCTTAGCAGAGAACAGGACAGAAGGGGAAGGGAGGGGAGGGATGAGGTGAGTAAGGGAAGAAAGAGGAGGTAAGGGTGGGCAAGAAAGAAAAAAAAAAAGAAAAGGAAAAGGCAGCCAGAAAGCAATTCTTAGCAATTCAAGTGAAGGCTGATGATAATGAATTTGACCATGGGGTAGGGCTGATAAGGTTTGGTGGCATAATTAGTATTGGGATAAAAGGTTAAGGTTTTCTGGGCTGGAGAGATAACTCAGTGGTTAAGAACACTGGTTGTTCTTGCAGAAGACCCGGGTTCGAATCCCAGAACCCCCATGGCAACTAACTGTCCATAACTCCAGTCCCAGGGGATCCGACAGCCTCTTCTGACCTCTGCGGGCGTTGCGCGACAAGGGTGCACTGACCTACATGCAGGCAACACATGCATACACATAAAATGAAAAATAAATAAATAAATAAAAAAGTTAAGGCTTTCCTAATGGCAGCACAAGAAAATCCAGAAGGTAGACTAGAGAGGATACAAAATGCCACTTGGTTTTGAGAGTTAAGTCTTACACACCTGAGAAATACGTTTTGGGTGGCAATAGTGGGTTAAAAGGGAAGGATTGGTTCTCCCTGGTATTGAATCTCAGCTCTGCCACTTCCTTGAACAGGGCATTTTGCCCACCTAATGTAACATCCCTACATCTATCTTCAGGAGAATGTGCTAAAAATGCAAATTCTCAGAGGTCTACCCTACGCCTACTGAATGAGGGACTTTGGAGGTGGAGCCCAGCAATCTGTATTGTAACATGCCATCTAGCTGTAGGTTGAGAACAGATTTCCTTTTTTTTTTAGTAAAAATGAGAACGTTAGGTTCAAACAAGATAAATAAATGCTACTTGACCCTAATTACTATTATTATTTCACTTTTTTTCCAAGTACAGAAATTTAGTAACAAAGAATACAAATGTGTTGCTTGGGCTGGAAATAAAATTGTCTGAGTTGTCAGATGACAATACCAGGGAAGCAAACAGGTAAGACCATGAGAAAAGGTTCACCAAGCATGCTGAAGAATCCTACTACTGACTGAATTAGACAAGATATAAAGGGCTTTCAGGTAAAAAGTGATCTACCTTGTCAATACTACCTAGAATGCAAAATGAGGACTGAAAATTATTTTTATCCCATTCACAAAATATCTAGAATGCAATCTTAGTAAGGATGATACTGGAAGGTGAACAGGGCAAGTATAAGTGGCATGTGCTGGGAATTAGAACAAACAACCCAGACAGGCAATCTTTAGATATTTGAAAGTGTAAGACTCAGCAACTCTAAGAATTTTAAGGCAAAAGTAAACATACTTAAATGCTAACAGAAAAAGTCACTAAGAAGGCTATAAATATATACCAATAAAGACAAAGAACATCAATTTAGGAATCCTAGGAGTCTGGGCCCCATACCTACAGGTTTAGGCAATCAAGAAATCAGCAGAATGCTGAGTATGCTGGCTTTGAGTTTGGGAAAGCTTGAGGACATGACATGGAATCCAGCATACCCAGAAAAAGGGGAGCATGGCCATGGTCCCGAGACCTCAGTAATGTAGGGGCAACAAAGAAGGCCTAGATCCTGGTTCAGTGAGAGGACTAAAGTGGCAAGTTACAGAATAGGAGAATGTTCTCTGACTTCTGCAGGGATATGCACCTTCAAACGCATACACACACATACATGCGCAGAGAGAGAGAGAGAGAGAGAGAGAGAGAGAGAGAGAGAGAGAACCAACCAACCAGTGCATATACAGAGGTTTGAAGTCAGAACTTAGGCATATTTCAAGGATGTCAGCATCTATTTTCTCTGTAAGATGCAATGGTGGAATGAGGTTATTACCTAGAGTAATTGCAGCCTTGAAATTCTTTACAATAATCCTTGAGATCCTGTAATGGTTTCCTATTTATTACTCAGTGCATGGCAAATAAAAAGCCTTTAGATATTATTAAATATCACCTAGAATATTCTGCGCTTTGTAGCCTACTGGTATCTGAAGAGTGAGTTCAACTTTTTGCTCTATAATTTTGCTGAAACATATCTACAAACTGAAAATTTTAACCAGAATGGCTGTTTTCCCAAGAAGAAATGTTATTTCACTCACTGAAAAATAAAATTTTAATCATTATCCAATCTGCCAATTTAAGTATTCAGAACTTTTCTGCCGTTAAGAGTTGTAAACACAGGGTGTCCTGTTAATCTATCATTCTATAGTGATTTGCTGAAGGTGTTCTTCAACTAGCTCTTCAGTCTTTTTTGAGACAGGCCCTCATAACACTGTATAGGCAGGCTTAAATTCATGATCCTAGGCTAGGGGTGGGGGGAGTGGTGGCACGCATGCCTTTAGTCCCAGCACTTGGGAGGCAGAGGCAGGCAGATCTCTGTGAGTTCAACGTTAGCCTGGTCTACATAGTGAGTTCCAGTCCAGGCCAGCTGGGGCTACAGAGAGACCCTGCCTTAAAAAGACCCCTCTCCCCCAAATTTCATGATTCTTCTGCCTCAATCATGCAGG